ACACTTCAAAGAGGAACACATCAGTGTCTGCAAAGCACTTCTTACGAGACCTTTTCTTTTCAACATAGTAAACCTTTGGCATCTTTATGGACAATCTTCAGGCCAGAGTACCGTTTCAGTTTTCAATGGATTAATGGCCATGATTTTCTCCACACAGTTGTGTTAAGTGGACCTCATATGGTTTAAATACCGGAATGATATTAAACTCGGGGCATGAAATGTTCATGGTCAGTGTGACCTATGTGTGACATGTCACATCCCTGCTGGACCTGTGTTCAGCGGCACTGCAGTAACAGTACAGGAGATTTAACATGGCCTGTCATCCCTCCCACTCTGTCTCGCACAACCAGCTTCACCACTCTCTCTCTCCTCTACTCTCCATCTATTCACTCTGTCACCCCACACTCCACCCCGCCCCACCCATCCCTCTCTCCCCTTTACTCACTCCTCTTTCCATCTTTCCCTTCCTATTCACTCTCACCCCCACACTCCACCCCACCCCTATTCCTCTCTCTCTCTCCTTTACCACTTCTCTTTCCATCTTTCCCTTCCTATTCACTCTCACCCCACACTCCACCCCACCCCTATTCCTCTCTCTTTTCCTTTACCACTTCTCTTTCCATCTTTCCCTTCCTATTCACTCTCACCCCCACACTCCACCCCACCCCACCCCTATTCCTCTCTCTCTCTCCTTTACCACTTCTCTTTCCACCTTTCCTTTCCTATGCACTCTGTCACCCCACCCCACCCCACCCCACCCCACCCCACCCCACCCCATCCCTATCTCTCTCCTTCACCTCACTCCTCTTTCCATCCAACTTGTCTCACTGAATCTCCCTCTCACCTCACAACCGTACCCTTGTTTCTTCCTGCTCATCTCTTACCCCTAGGACCTACTCGGTCTCCTCCTGTACCCACTCATCTCCCCCCCCCCCACCCCCCCACACCCCCCCACACACACACATACACACACTTGTACCCCTGCTACTCCCCCATTTGTCCACACATCACCACTTGTACCCCCACCACACACACACTTGCATCCTCACCTTTGCTTGCGCCTCTCTCATCTTCACACACGCCCCCTTATCTCTGCCCATACCTTCTCATCTTCACACACAACCCCTTATCTTCTCACGCACCCTCTCATCTTCACACATGCCCCCTTATGTCCACCCATACCTTCTCATCTTCACACACGCCCCCTTATCTTCTCACGCACCCTCTCATCTTCACACCCCTCTCCCCACCCACGTATTTCCCTTCATTTGATTTTAAACTCACAGTCATCACTCCTCTCGTTTCTCTTTAAGATCCCATAGCACTATTCTCGTAAACCTATCACCCCTATTTCGTTTTGTCCAAATAGTCGATTGTTTTTGTTTTTCTGTGATGTGTAACTGATACTTACTTTCATCTACTATCTACTATTATTATTGGTCTTTACAAACACCTGCTGGAATCGACTGGTTCTTGTCGCGAATAGCTGTAATATTGCTGATACTGCGTAAAACAGTATGTTTTCATTCACTATTCTAGCTCAGCTCTTGCTCCTGGAAATGATAGACTTAGGGTTTCTTTAGGCCACACTTTTTAAATTTTGTGTTTCACAGATTGATTCCAGCTTTTCCACACAAAGTTTGTCGAATTAAGAAAATAAATAAATAAATAAATAAATAAATATTTATTTATTTATTTATTTATTTATTTATTTATTTATTTATTTATTTATTTATTTATTTATTTATTTATTTATTTATTTATTTATTCATTCATTCATTCATTCATTCATTCATTCATTCATTCATTCATTCTGCTGTGGAGTTAAAACTGCAGCTGCCCTCATTCATTCATTTATTCATTCATTCATTCATTCATTCATTCTGCTGTGGAGGTAAAACTGCAGCTGCATTCATTCATTCATTCATTCATTCATTCATTCATCATTCTGCTGTGGAGGTAAAACTGCAGCTGCATTCATTCATTCATTCATTCATTCATTCATTCATTCATCATTCTGCTGTGGAGGTAAAACTGCAGCTGCATTCATTCATTCATTCATTCATTCATTCATTATTCATCATTCTGCCGTGGAGTTAAAACTGCAGCTGCCTTCTTGAGTCACTGATAGTAATGTAGACATGGAATTGATGTATGACATTTTTAATTGAGGTTCTATATTACTAGTGGGAGACATATGGAGAATCTCACCCAAGTGTCTTTTGATATCAAATATATCTACACGAGTCGATAAAAGTTTAAGACTCTGAGGCTTGCCGTGAGTTTTAAACTTTTATCTACGAGTGTTGATATATTTGATATCAAAAGACACAAGGGTGGTATTCTATTTATCATCCAACATCATTCTTCCAACTTGTTCAGTTTGTAGACAAATAATAAGCAGTGTCTTCAGTGTAAAAAGTACTGTTAACAGCTTCAGTAGCAGAGCCATTAGTGATGTCATTTGATTGTGACGTCATGGTAACCAGTGACGTCACAATGATCTGCAAAGCATTGTGATGCAATTTCAATGTAGATCTTGTTGATTTCATCCAAGCCATATCTCCTGTGGGAGCCAGTTTGGGATGATGAAATAAAAATATATATTCTTATGTAACTTATTTTTTCCTGGGCACCTTTTCAGTAGGGGCGTTGGGCCCATGAAACGAAAAAATATAATGTGTGGCCCTACTATTCCTGGGTTTAATTGTTGAATTATCTGTTTTACCTTATACACAACTTGATGTCAGGGTTCATATGTGAGTCAAACACGCACACACACAACTGATCTGCCTCCATACTGATCCCCCCCCTCCTTCCCCAACCCCTTAGGGTGTTCCACGACAGGTACACCTACCTAAGGGCTGTAGTTTCCTGTCCGACCACCCTTAGGGCGAGTTCTAATGAGTGTGGTAACAATAGCATTGTTCTGCTGTGAGTATCAGTTGTATCGTGCACCAATAGGATGTATAATATTATTTCTTGAACTGTCATTTTCTAAAGAACCCCCACTGTACTCTCTCATTTGCTAATTAGCAGGACTAAAATCTTTTTGTCAGTCAGATAACATTTTTGCAACAGCTTAAAGATTAAACAGATAGCTTTGTGATTTAGAAGATCTGGATTAACCTGTGTCTTTGATGTTTGTGTAAGTGACCCCCCAACACTGAATTATTTCCAAATGGTGTTTCAGTGGTGTGTGTGAGGCGTTATGTTAATTATTGAAGATTAATACTGGCCATAAAGTTTATGTGTTATCTCCCCTTGATTAAAGGGCAAGGTGTGTGACTATTAGTGTATGTGTGTATAACGCAACCCAAGATTACAGGGCACTGGTTTTTTTACCGATGTAGATAATTTTGATATCTTTGTTTCGTTGTAGGTAATATGTGATATATATGTAATGACAAGGATCTAACTGTTTAATTGTTTATGTAGTAAGACTTTAAGCTGCGTTGCGTGAATTGAAAGATTACGAAAGAATAGATTTATCATAGAAGTGTGATAGGATTGTGTAAGTAAGGGTGTTATCTATAATGGCAAGCTGTTCCAGGATCACATAATGTTAAACTAAGATGGAGGAGATATGTTTAATAACAGAGTTCATTGTGGATGCAGGGATTTATCTAGACCTGCTCAGAGGCTAATAAAGTCTGCAGCAAATGATAGCAAATATTCCCTTATTTGATTTTTATAATCTCCTAATTCCTCAGAATTTACGAAAATGAATTTGAACAATATCACAATTCTTTCGCAAGTCTCTTGCCAAGGGTTCTTTGTTTGGAATCCTGGATAAATCCTGGTTTGTCAACAAACAAACAGGACCAGGGATGAAAGTTATTTAGACCAATTTTTATCGCCCCATTTTCAAAATGGGGTATAGAGCAATCAATATGTGTGTCCGTCTGTTTGTCCTCTTTCCGTTTTCGGAACAGAACCGTTGAACATATTTTGTTGAAACCTGCTGTACAGATTTGTTTAGTAGTTAACTGATGCATGTTGATGATGTGGGATTTTTATTTTTTTATTTTGTTTTATGTTTTATGTTTAATGACAACAAGTTGAGCTTTAATGAAAATAAGGGTGGTGCTTCTTTCCTGAGCAGAACAACAATACTGTTGAAACATTTCTTGATGAAACTTGCTATGAAGATCAGTCAAGTGGTGAACTGGTGCCTTTTGATGATAGGAATATTTCTGATCAGCATTATTTTTTTCTTCACTGAATCAAAGGTATCCAATGGCATTGAGTGGAGTATAGGTAGCCAAATCCTATTTCCAAATTGGAGCAGACTGGGGGATATGTCAGTTCCTGATGCCTCTTGTCTTCTAAATGAAACTTTTGAGAACAGACTTACATTCTTATTGCTGAAATATACCAAAAGTGGGGTATTAGTAGCCAAATTCCATTTCCGAATTGCAGCAGACCAGGAGATATGTCAGTTCCTGATAACTCTTGTTTGATCCCCTGACCAAAATGTTACAAATTTGGAAATTAAAATGAAACAGACTTACATTCTTATTGCTGAAATAAACTTTAAATTGCGCAACTTAGGATTTGAAGTAACATTTTGACTTTCATTGTCATCATTAAAAAATACTCCTTTCATTTCTGTCTTTTGTCTCTCTTTATTTCATCTCACTAAGTATACTTTGAATAGATGAAAGAGGATAACTTTTAACATTGTCGTTATGTTTCAACTACAAGACAACAATCCTCTGAGCAACACCCTGGTCAGATCACAGTGAACGTCATTCACCAACCTACCCTCCAGAGCTGATTAGGGCACAAATGGCGTCTAAGGCACAGAAAAAACTGGAATACTATTCAAAGCGACTTTAAACCCAACTCACTCAAACCGCCTTTGAAGTACATGATGTTATACTAGTATCGATAATGAAATTACCATGTAATATGTATTGAGAGACAAAAAACTGATGCATCTCATTACCACAGTTTTTTTTGTGTTGTTGATGTAGATGTATCTGTGATGCTTTCAGAAAGCTCAGAGTGGGCAGAGCAGCAGCGTCAGCAACGACTTCCTGGAACTCCTGCTGTTTGGGACACCCAGGTAGGGTCATCTTGCTCTCTTGTTTTAGAGTCCAGGGTCCCATTCAACCAAACTATCTCAGTGCTATGATGTGTGGATCATCTTGGCGCTAGGTTTATGTGCACAGGAGGGGCACGGGTGGCCCAGTCGTCTAAGGCGCCGCGATTCGCTGTGCGGAGTTGCGTCCCTTGGGCACGCCAGAAACCTATGATTGTGGGCTCGAATCCCAGTTCACCCCGATTATATTTCTAGGTTTGTCAGCACCATACCCGTGCTCGTGGGTTTCACCGAAGTGGTAACATCTGAGACCTGCATCACTTCGGGCTTTCCTCCCACATTAAGCTGACACACCGCGATATAACTGGAACACTGTTAAAAGCGGCGTTAAACCCAACTCACTCACTCAATCATGTTCACAGGACATGAACGTTTTGATTTTTTTTCAAAATTCTATTTCATACGAAAAAAACAGTTACAAATTTGATTTGATTTGAAATGTACTGTGGAGAGATATTGGTGGATTGCAAAGATATTGCAAGAAAAAGATCGATCTTAAATATTGAAAGATTATGGTGTAATGCAGTACTTGACTGTAACTTCAGACAGTCCAGAAAATTGTGATGTCACCTTCAATTGCAGGCAGCAGTGAATGTATTCAGAACTATAATTAAACTATTTTATGATAAAAACATATCTTAATGTTATTGAGTTGTCTGTGCCAACATTTAAGTCTACCTGCACATAATTGTCTTTTAGTTTATGGATCTAAGATTTTGATATCACAAGCTGATTAAAAGCCAATTTGATCATCTCTGGCTGCAATCTGTTGAGTGTGTAGAATTATTTTATTCAGGATATTAAAAAAGCAAAAAACAATTCATAAACTGATTATTCCTCCTTATTCAAGTGGGGCGGTCAGGGTAGCCTAGTGGTTAAAGCGTTCACTCGTCACGCCAAAGACCTGGGTTCGATTCTTGGCATGGGTACAATGTGTGAAGCCTATTTCTGGTGTCCTCCGCCGTGATATTGCTGGAATACTGCTAAAAGCAGTGTAAAATCAAACTCACTCACTCACACTGAGTCCCAGGGTTAGAAACTAACAGTTTTCGTCCACTAGTCCTTATAATGATAACATATAGAAAAACCCTTAAAAAGGGCAAATTTCTACTAGTCCTTATGATACCTTTACCATGGGGCAGTTTGGCAAGGACTACAGGACTAGTGCCAATTTCTAACGCTGCGTGACTCCTTATTCAAGTGAGATCCTTCACCAAAAACTTCTGCCACAGTAGTCCTGGCCAACATTGAGGTATTTTATGACTGCTTCACTCATTTAACTAATTCAATTTCCACCAAACCGTTCTTTGTTTCATGGCACCAAATAATGATGCGTGTACAATAACTGTGATAAATACAACATTTGCAAGGTTTTCAGATGCATTTGCTGCACAAATTTCGCACATACACTTTTTGGAACTGTTATTGTGATTTTCCCTGACATTTCCAGTACTGTAGCAATATGGTGACAGGATACTGCCAGGTGCTTGAGAGGAAGGCAGTTCCACCAGGTGGCTACAAGACCAGTGTACATTGTGGCCTTAAATATGTTTTCAGTGAGGAGCTGGAGCAGTTCTTGCAGCATGAACTCACAGAAAAGGTAGGCTGTAACAGAATTAACTGAGGCATCTCTTGTATAAAGATGACGTCTTTGTAGCTAGGTTTTATTGGATAGAAAATATTATGTCCTGTACAAGATCATTGAGAATGTACTGCAAACTGCATGGGATACAAGAGGATTTCATTATTATGAAAATATAAATCGCCATGTCAGAAACCCTGTATTTCAACCCATGCTTGCTGTAAATGGCGACTATGCTTGTCAGAGGCGACAAAGGGGATTGGGTGGTCAGGCTCTCTGGCTTGGTCGATGCATGTCATCGATCCCAGATGCTCATGACATCAATCACTGGATTGTCTGGCTCAGACTTGATTATTTACAGACCGCCGTCATATAGCTGGAATATTGCTGAGTGCGGCGTTAAACAACAAACCAACCAACCACAGATGAGGCCCAGTTATCCTAGAAGACCTGTATCCATAGCCTTTGAGTTTATATTGTGGAAGAGACAAAGGGTGTAAATCTTCTGATCGAAGTGATGTTTGTGGCGTGTATGGATTGATAAGTGTTGACAGGTGTGCTGGCGCTAGGCTTTGTGGACATCTGTATTTTGTAGGTAAGAAAAAGAACCTTAGAGTTGATCCTGGTCTCAACTTGAGGTGAGGTGAAATTGGGTTTAACGTTGCGTCCAAGATTATTGCACTTATATAGCGATGTGCATGCATGTGTATGTGTGTGTGTGTGGCTGCTTGTACTAGTCCGGACTGATGCCGATTTATAGTGCTAGCACACTGAGATACCATGCCGCAGTTGAACATGAATACCCCACTCAGACACAGTATATTGACTCCGAGCCAACCAGTCCTTGTTTTAGCCCCTTAATGCCGAGCACCAGACAGGGTAACAACAAGTACCATCTTTTAACGTCTTTTGGTATGACGTGGCTGGGGATCGAACCCCGGACCTTCCACTCTTCGAATGGATGCTCTACCATTAGACCATGGAGGCGGTCTGGTCTCAACTTGAAGCCAGTGCAATGCCTTCAAAACTGGTTTTATATGTGGGAGTGTTCTAGACACAAACTGTGAGCTGTGGTTATTTTAAGGACCGCCTCTGTGGTCTCATGGTTGAGCGTCTGCCCGTAGTGCGGAAAGTCCGGTGTTTGATCCCCAGCTGCGTCATACCGTAAGATGTTTAAAGATGGTACTTGTTACTACCCTGCCTGCCACTCGGCATTAAGGGGCTAAGACAAGGACTGGTCCCGATGACTAGGACTGCCTATTGTTGGTGCGTCACCTTAGGACTGACAAATAGACTGACTCAGGCAATTCCCAGATTTAGTGATATATGTTTAATGCTCAGATTTGCCAGTAAAGTCTGTTGGATTCGTTTGGTAGTGTCGATACTTAAATGTCTTTTTCATTGTGTTTGATTGCAGGGTTTGAAGAAACTGGGTCATTCCATTGAGACTTCCTACTCCAACATACAGAAGCTGGTTGTGAAACATTTACAAAGGTCGGGAAACTGTCTGTTGCAGAATATCTTAAAGATAATAATCATATGAATGATAATATTAGAGACAGCATGAAGCCTTGATTAATTATTATCCCCTGCCCAACAAAGTTGGCAGGGGATATAGAAACGGGCTCCGTCCGTCCGTCCATCTTTCTGTCTGTCTGTCCATCACATTCCGTTTCCGGAGCATAACTCAGAAACCGTTCAATATTTTTTCATCAAACTTTGCAGGTCTATCAGGTACAGCTGAACTGGTGCCTTTTGCTATTTTGAAATTTTAGAAATTTTTATTTTTTACGTTTCCATGGCAGAGATGGACTTAGGTCCAAACTCTTCTTTTTTTCACAATTTCCATGACAAGTTCCACCTCGGTTAAAAAAGGTTAGGGTTTTGTTTAGATTTAATTATGTCATAAATTCTGCAACAGGGGCAGGGGATATAGCCATGTTAGTGGCAAACTCTTGTTTTGATTTCATTTAACAATAATCGCGACCCGTGAAGATCCGGGTTAGAATAGGTCTTCAGCAAGCCAATGTTTGCCATAAGAGGTGACTATGCTTGTAGTAAAAGGCAACTAACGGGATTGGGTGGTCAGACTCACTGACTTGGTTGATGCATGTCATCGTGTCCCAATTGCGTGGATCGATGCTCATGATATCAATCACTGGATTGTCTGGTCCAGACTCGATTATTTACAGACTGCCATCATAAAGCTGGAATATTGCTGAGTGCGGCGTTAAACAAACAAAACAAAACTAACATTAATGGCACAGTAAACACAGTCTCTCATGGATAATTAAATGTGATAATAATAAGTGCAATACTTCACTCCATAGAGTGATGATGATCAAGACATTATTACTGTGGCAAACAATCTGCAAGTGAATTACAATCTCAGCTCCTTGTGGAGTATGCATATACACTGTGTCATTGATCAGTTGATAACACGTACCACGTTAGCTATGTGTCCTGAATGATTCTGATAAAGTGTCAAGAAAAAGTTTGTCATCCGACAGTGGCTGTCGGTTCAGGGGACAGAAACACTCTCAGACTGTATTGCAATAAGGCAACACAGAGTATTGTATAATAACTAAATTATATTTATACATGGCCTTTGATGAGCTAAACAAGCAATAATTATTGCATTTATGCTTCCAAAAAGTGAAAATAGAATAGGCCTTGCCTACTGTTTCTTGATTGGCTGAAATAGAATAGGAAGGGCTTGTGTTTCATTATTGCGCTGAACCATGTCACTGACTTTGTGTTGCTATTTGTGTGTTGATGATTAGATAAGCAGTCAAATTTATTGTTGACATATTTATTTATAAGAATTTATTTCAATATAAATTCTTATTTTGAAGTTTACGGGATTTATGGTGATAACATTGTTTTTTTTTTGTTTATTTGCTGATCACATGAAATGTTTTTGCGTTTGTGGAGTTAAACATGTATAAAATAGTGTGCATACTTTGTGTTATTGTACTGTGTGGAACTGTTTTTGCAGTCATACTCCCACTTACACAAAAAAATATTGTTCTAAAAGTCAGTTCTAAAAAACTTCAGGATTGTCCTTGTTTATACAAGTTTTATGAAAGTAAGTTGATATATTATTTTTTTATGGGTAGGATGGTAGTAGAAATGTCAATTCCGGTGCTGATGTGGAGATTTTACGAGTGCTTCTCTGTGCAGTGTAAGCCAAGCCATGGTGTACCACCTGAGTGAACTGAGGGGTATGTCCCTGTGGTACGACAAGTTCGGGGTGCTCGGACTGGACACCAGCGATCTACAGAAGGCCGTGCAGCTCGCAGGAAGCTTTGTGCTCAACACCAGTCAGCTGCAACAGTAAGTAACGTAGGCTCCCATTGGTGGATAGACGAGTTGTTGGCTGTAAGTAATGCAGGCTCCCATTGGTGGATGGGTAATTGTTGGCTGTGAGTAACGCAGGCTCCCATTGGTGGATAGGTAGTTGTTGGTTGTTAGTAATACTGGCTCCCATTGGTGGATTTAAATTTTGCTGTTTTTATTGTTTTTGTTTGTTTGTTGTTAAGTGCCGCACTTGGCAATATTCCAGCTATATGACAGCGGTCTGTAAATAATCAAGTCTGATCCAGACAATCCTGTGATTGACATCGTGTGAGCATTGGTGTACGCAACTGGGATACGATGACATGCAGCAAATTTGAAAACCTGATCCCGTTAGTCGCCATTTACATTTTAGGCTAAAAACAGTTAAAGGGGAATAACTCTGTTATCGTCACACGTTCAGCTGTTCTTTTTTTCCAAATCTCTGACACTAATCATTTGCTTAACACTGTTTAGAAATACTGATTTGATTTATGATCACTTGAGTACATTTGTGGCTCTGAAATCTATGCTGAAGTTATTGTTGTAACATTTGTTTAAACTTTACTGTTGACCACAAATTCATTTATAAAATTCTTTAATACTCTATTTGACAATGTATGTAATTTTAGGAAATAAGAAACATATATTTTCAGTTGTGTTAAAGGTTTATGATCAGATATATGTGTTTAGTTTAATATTCAAGTGGACAAGGGGAGATAACTGATACTGTTTTCCATTTCAGAGTTATTGATGGAAGCATCAAGAATTTCAAGGCATTTTTCAGATGGCTGTATGTAGGTAAGATGTTAAAGATGCTGCTACCTGGTATATGCACGAGTTGATAAAAGTTTTAAACTCTGAGGCTTGCCAAGGGGTTTCAAATATTTTGGAAGAGTTTTGGTAGATTGGATATCAAAAGACAGAGGGTGAGATTCTTTTTATCATCCATTATCGTTCTTCCCAATTTTTAAGTTTGGAAAGAGTAATACCGTATTTGACGTAATAAGCGCCCACGACGATATTTGCTAATATATTGGCTAGTGAACAATCCTAATTAGCACCCCTTCCGATAGATCAATGTACTCAAGACTTATTTATTCGTGTATTATACGCACTTGTGTGTTATGCACCCTTAATTATGGGCAATTAAGTTCTGGAAGAATATATCTGGCGTATGTAAACATTTTAGGCTGTCAGCATTAACCACAAAATTTACGATCTTCAACTCTTTTTCACCAAAATAATATTCTAATAAGAGCCCACTATTCCTAATTTTGAGAGCGCCCTGGGCGCTTATTACGTCGAATACGGTAACCAGTGTTTTTATGTGTAAAAAGTGCAGCTAACCAGCTTCAGATGTAGAGAGATTAGTGATGTTATTTGATTGTGATGTCATGGTAACTACTGATGACACATTGGTCTTCTGGGAGATATCAATTGATATCACCTGTGGAAGCCAGTTTCGGAGGATAAGTTTACATATGCAAGTGGAGGCCTTCCAAAAACAAGACTATCATTATTATTTGTCTTGAGACTGTTAATATGTCATTATTTTTTCCTTTGGAGCAAGGTACTACAGAATGGGGGGTTGGAGTGAGTGATTTGGGTTTAACGCCACTTTTAACAGTATTCCAGTTATATCGCGGCGTGTCAGCTTAATGTGGGAGGAAAGCCCGAAGTGATGCAGGTCTAAGACGTTTACCACTTTGGTGAAACCCACAACCACGGGTATGGTGCTGACAAACCTAAAAAACATAATCAGGGCGAACCTTGATTCGAACCCACAATCATAGGTTTCTGGCGTGCCCAAGGGACGCAACTCTGCACAGCGATTCACGGCGCCTTAGACGACTGGGCCACCCGTGCCCCCTTGGGGGGTTGGACTTCCTGAAAACACCTAAGACATTTAATACTTATGTCTGATAGTGTGTTTGGTTGTTTGAACTTAACTTTATTTAGTTTACTGTTTCCATGACATATATTCATATACGACTGATAGCAATGTTAGATTTATTTCCTGTGCCCAACACAAAAACTGCTTTATCATATGTTTGATCTGAGAGTTATCATTCGTATACTTCTTTTCTTCTTTTCCATCATTCTGTAGTCAGTTTAAGAAATCCTGACTGTTCTAAAGATGGAAGACCGCCTCCGTGGTCTAGTGGTAGAGCGTCCGCCCAGAGAGCGGAAGGTCCGGGGTTTGATCCCCGGCCGCGTCATACCAAAAGACGTTAAAAGAAGGTACTTGTTGTAACCCTGTCTGGCGCTCGGCATTAAGGGGCTAAAACAAGGATTGGTTGGCTCGGAGTCAGTATAAGTGGCTATAATCTTGGACGCGACGTTAAACCCCAATTCACCTCACCTCTTTTCCATCATTCTGTAGTCAGTTTAAGAAATCCTGACTGTTCTAAAGATGGATGATCTCGCTATTTTTAAGTGTTAAAGTGACATATGAAGCGTGTGGCTTAGTGTATTTGGTATTGTCCTTGCAGTGATTTTACGACTTTCAAATGAGCAACCACCAGCTGAACTGAGCAAGGTAAGAATTGGTTGTAGGTCTGAAACATAAAGAAGAGTTCCCCTCAGATGAGGGTTGGTGGGGTAGCCCAGTGGTTAAGGTGTTTGGTCATCCTGCTGATGATCCAGATTCGATTCCGCACATGGATAATTTAAATGAATTCCGTTTCTGGTGGCACTTGACCCGTGAAGAACCAGGGGAGAAAAGGTCTTCAACAACCCATGCTTGCCGTAAGAGGCGACTAACGGGATTGGGTGGTCAGACTCGCTGATTTGTTTGATGCATGTCATTGTATCCCAGTTGTGTAGATTGATGCTCATGATATCTATCACTGGATTGTCTGGTCCAGACTCGATTATTTACAGACCGCCATCATATAGCTGGAATATTGATGAGTGCGGCATTAAAAACAAACAAACAAAACCAGTCTGGTGTCACTGTCTGTGATATTGCTGATATATTGGTAAGAGCAGCAAAAAACATGAAATAGATATATATGTGTGTATTGTAAAATTTTCAACTTGTGTATTTTTGCAATTCTGTAAGCTGGGTCAGAAGATGTACAGAAATATGTCACATCGCTGCTGTGAGGAAACTTGACTTCAGGTATTTCTATTTGCAGATGACACAACATGATGTGAACTTTGTGGCTGAGTTTCTGCGGGACAACTTCACACAATTTTCCCCAGTAGGATATCTGTTGTCTGACATGCTTCAGAATCGTAGTCATAGTTGAAATAAGGCACCCTGGTGAATAAACAAAACCCTTCTTTCTCATCACTAGAATTGGCCCCTATACTGGTCGTAAGTGAGTGAGTTGGGTTTAACGCTGCTTTTAACAGTATTACAGTTATATCACAGCGTGTCAGCTTAATGTGGGGGGAAAGCCCCAAGCGATGCAGGTCTCAGATGTTTACCACTTTGGAGAAACCAACGAGTACGGGTATGGTGCTGACAAACCTAGAAACATAATCGGGGCGAACCAGGATTCGAACCCACAATCATAGGTTTCTGGCGTGCCCAAGGGACACAACTCTGCACAACGAATTGCGGGGTCTAGACGACTGGGCCACCCGTGCCCCCGCTGGTCGTAAGAGATGTGTCTGTCTGTGTGTCTATATTAAAATTAAATATCATCAACAGCATGCATTGTTGCATGTGGCTTGAATTTCATACTGGATGATGTAAATTTACATGAAACACTCGTAAAAGCTCAAGTGTAGGATTTGTGATTCGATTTATTGAATGAAGATCCCTTAAAATCTTCCATGTTATTTGTGTAGATTCATGTGTCAGTTCTCTTTTCCAGGAAGCCAACAACCTGTTTGGTGATTCAGATTCTGGGAAAAAGTCAGGATTTAAACTTGAAAAAGTTGGCCAGGTAAACAGTGTTAAAAGCTTATAGGAAACATTGACAGTCTCATTAAAAGAAGACCTTTTACTCTGATATGACACCTCAAGGCAGCCAAGACTGACCATAGCAGGTGGCATCAGGTGAACTTTCTGATCAGCCAATTAGCTTCGAAGCTTCTACATCCTAGGTAGGGGTGGTCGGGTAGCCTAGTGGTTAAAACATTCGCTCATCACGCCGAATACCTGGGTTCAATTCCCGACATCTGTATTATGTGTGAAGCCCATTTCTGGTGTCCCCTTCCATGATATTGCTGGAGTTTTTCTAAAAGTGGCATAATATCAAACTCACTCACTACATTCTAGATGCGAATGAGCAGACCATTCAGACCAGTATATTGATTTCTGTATCACAAAAACAAAGTTAATCGGCCTGTTCTGATTGTAAATGACAAGGGTTGCTCCATGTTATAGTTGTGGATATTTTTTACTTTGTTGTTTCTGAGCACCATGAGCTCTGTACACAAGAGTTGAGTACCATTGAAGGAATATTTGACGTGTCTGGGTTTTCTTTTGTTAAAATTGAAATTTTCAAAGGGAGATGGTAAAGAAGTTGAATCATTTTGGAAAGTTGTCATCCGATTGGCTAATGAATCGAACCCATGCATCCCTCAGTTAGTTTGGGGTTCATCTGAGGTGGTGTCACAACATGTACATGCAGAGAGGTATCATATCGGAGTAGGGGCGGTCGGGTAGCCTAGTGGTTAAAGCGTTCGCACGTCACGCCGAAGACCCGGGTTCAATTCCCGACATGGGTACAATGTGTGAAGCCCATTTCTGGTGTCCCCCGCCGTGATATTGCTGGAATATATTGCTAAAAGCGGCGTGAAACCAATCTCACTCACTCACTCATATCAGAGTAAAAGATCTGATTTTATTTGGATTGGAAACATTGATGAAATCAATTGTTTTGTTAAAGTATTATTTCTTCTGACACTGTGAACCTTGTCTTTGTCTTCTGAAAATATTATTATTATTATTTGGCGAAGATATCCAGGAAATATTTCATTATAATTCTCTGTGCCAAATGAAAAAACAGTACATAATATATACTCACTGCCAACAGAAATGTGAATACCATACATGTTGGTTAATTTATGAAGAGGGGGCACGGGTGGCCCAGTCAACAAGGGCAAAAACTAGGACAGCGAACAAAATCTGTGTATCTGGATTTATGATAATGGCTGCTGAGCTTAGATAATGGGTGACAGTTCTTTATTTGTTTCAGTATTTAAAGAAAGAGAACCTGTCTTCTCCGCCTGACACGTCAAACAACCCATGGCAACAGTACCTCAATGCCAGTACATTCCATACAGGTGAGCAGATAGTTCAACTGCTGACCACAACAGTGTTCCATAGATTGATGTCTTGTGACACTGTGTTATATGTATTGCAGACAGTCCTGTGCTGTACCCAGTAGACAGCAACCACTCTCTTGTACAGCTTATGGCCACAACAGTGTTCCATAGACTGATGTAGTGTGACACTGTGTTGTATGTATTGCAGACAGTCCTGTGCTGTCCCCAGTAGACAGCAACCACTCTCTTGTACAGCTTATGGCCACAACAGTGTTCCATAGACTGATGTAGTGTGACACTGTGTTGTATGTATTGCAGACAGTCCTGTGCTGTACCCAGTAGACAGCAACCACTCTCTTGTACACCTAATGACCACAACAGTGTTTCATAGACTGATGTAGTGTGACACTGTGTTGTGTGTATTGCAGACAGTCCTGTGCTGTACCCAGTAGACAGCAACCACTCTCTTGTACAGCTTATGACCACAACAGTGTTCCATAGATTGATTTGGTGTGACACTGTGTTGTGTGTATTGCAGACAGTCCTGTGCTGTCCCCAGTAGACAGCAACCACTCTCTTGTACACCTAATGACCACAACAGTGTTTCATAGACTGATGTAGTGTGACACTGTGTTGTGTGTATTGCAGACAGTCCTGTGCTGTACCCAGTAGACAGCAACCACTCTCTTGTACAGTTGATGACCACAACAGTGTTCCATAGACTGATGTAGTGTGACACTGTGTTGTGTGTATTGCAGACAGTCCTGTGCTGTACCCAGTAGACAGCAACCACTCTCTTGTACACCTAATGACCACAACAGTGTTTCATAGACTGATGTAGTGTGACACTGTGTTGTGTGTATTGCAGACAGTCCTGTGCTGTACCCAGTAGACAGCAACCACTCTCTTGTACAGCTTATGGCCACAACAGTGTTCCATAGATTGATTTGGTGTGACACTGTGTTGTGTGACACTGTGTTGTGTGTATTGCAGACAGTCCTGTGCTGTACCCAGTAGACAGCAACCACTCTCTTGTACAGCTTATGACCACAACAGTGTTCCATAGATTGATTTGGTGTGACACTGTGTTGTGTGTATTGCAGACAGTCCTGTGCTGTACCCAATAGACAGCAACCACTCTCTTGTACAGCTTATGACCACAACAGTGTTCCATAGATTGATTTGGTGTGACACTGTGTTGTGTGACACTGTGTTGTGTGTATTGCAGACAGTCCTGTGCTGTACCCAGTAGACAGCAACCACTCTCTTGTACACCTAATGACCACAACAGTGTTCCATAGACTGATGTAGTGTGACACTGTGTTGTGTGTATTGCAGACAGTCCTGTGCTGTACCCAGTAGACAGCAACCACTCTCTTGTACACCTAATGACCACAACAGTGTTCCATAGACTGATGTAGTGTGACACTGTGTTGTGTGTATTGCAGACAGTCCTGTGCTGTACCCAGTAGACAGCAACCACTCTCTTCTACACCTAATGACCACAACAGTGTTCCATAGACTGATGTAGTGTGACACTGTTTTATATGTATTGCAGACAGTCCTGTGCTGTACCCAGTAAACAGCAACCACTCTCTTGTACAGTTGATGACAACAGTGTTCCATAGATTGATGTAGTGTGACACTGTGTTGTATGTATTGCAGACAGTCCTGTGCTGTACCCAGTAGACAGCAACCACTCTCTTGTACAGCTCCAAGAACAGCTAGTTGAGCTGATGACTACAACAGTGTTCCATAAACCAGCGGTAAGTACAAGCCGTATTTGAAAGTAAACTTCTAGCAGATATGGAGGACACAGGAAGCCCAGGCGTCTAAGGCGCTGCCATGCCCAGTGCAAAGATGCATCCCTTAACCTATGATCATGGGTTCGAATCCCAGTTCGCCCTGATTATGCTTCTAGGTTTGTCTGTACCATTCCCTTGCTAAGGGGTTTCACCAAGTGTTAAACATAAAAGACCTGCATCACGTCAGCTTTGCTTCCACATCCAACTGATATAACTGGAATACAGTAAACTACGGTTATAACAAACTCAAAGGGACCACTAATTTTAGTTTGTCACAACCGTAGATCGTTATCAGCATGTATTCAGCATATATACAGCAAATGGCCGGGACAAAAATAAAGAGTTTGTTATATCCGTCAGTATATGCATGTTCATTATAAACATAGTTTTCTGTACTGTTCAAAGCAGCATTAAACTCACGCTCTCACTCTTGCACATGTAAAACTTTATTTTGTTGGGAAATAAACAAATCAGGATATTTTTTTTGGTCATGAGACTTTGGTAGCACCTCACAAAGATGGATGCCTGAAAGAAAAGCTGAGCCTGATACTTTTATTCAACTTACTTTATTATGCAGACCATGTCATGACAGGTGAGACAGGTGTCATGACAGCTTTTTTTTGTTTAACTATCGCCATATAAAACAAGCGTTGCAAGAAGATAACAAATCCCCCTGGCCCCCATAATAGCTAAAGGTACTTCAATCCTTGGTTAAGAAATGAAAAGTTTGGATGAAAAATCTTTCACAGGTTTCAAGTTATGCTTTGGAAACAAAATATGTACGTAGGTACGGACGGACGAACAGACAGACCAGATGATGACTATATCCCCCAACATTATATGTCGGAGGGATAAAAATCAGTTGTTCTTGAACATCTTTTGAGTTGTACATATAAAAAATTGGAAGTGATTCTGTGGCATTTGATTGACAAACAACGGGTGGCCCAGTCATCTTAAGCGCTGCGATTCGCTGTGCAGAGTTGCATCCCTTGGGCACGCCAGAAACCTATGATTGTGGGTTTGAATCCTGGTTCGCCCCGATTATGTTTCTAGGTTTGTCAGCACCATACCCGTACTCGTGGATTTCACTGAATGGTAATCGTCTTAGACCTGCATCACTTCGGGCTTACCCCCACATTTACACCTTACTCCGTTTTACACATAATATGTACTCTTCTGTACAAAAGGCCAGTGTCCTTGATATTCGGAAATAAGAATGGACTAAAACAAAGTCCATTATATTCAGCTAAAAAGTTAAGGACCATGCGATTCTTTCATATTACTATAGTAAAACTGACATGGCATGACAGATTAACTGTAGTAATGTGAAAGAATCGGGGGATCCTTGACTTTTTTATACTAGAACATGGTGATAAATCCAAGTAGATGACGTGAACGTGATGTAGAGGGGGATGTCCTAGTTACTCTCCATTCCTTAAAAATGAGACCGTCTCCGTGGTCTAATGGTAGAGTGTCCGCCCGGAGAGCGGAAGGTCCCAGGTTTGATCCCCTGCCGCGTCATACCTAAAGATGTTAAAAGATGGTACTTTTTGTTACCCTGTCTGGCGCTCGGCATTAAGGGGCTAAAACAAGGACTGGTCGGCTCGGAGTCAGTATACTGTGCCTGAGTGGGGTATTCATGTTAAACTGCGGCATGGTATCTCAGTGTGCTAGCACTATAAATCGGTATCAGTCCGGCCTAGTACAAGCAGCCACACACACACACATGCACGTTGCTATATAAGTGCAATAATCTTGGACGCGACGTTATACCCCATTTCACCTCACCTCCTTAAAAATGATGGAGCCTTTGAACACATCCCTACTCTTACACTTTTACAAAACATTCTAAGGAGCCATAAAACATGCAGTGTAAAGATCAGCTCGCGATGGAGTACATGCAACAGTGGCAGAGAACACAGTCAATTCTTCATTCCTGAAAACAAATGGAACACTTAAACAATAGGATGACGTCACCGCTGTGTTTTAAGTGTACATGCTGCTGTGTGTTGCAGGTTGTGATAGGCCAGTCTCTCCACTGTATGTGCACCAACCACCTCTTCACGCTCACAAGGTAGGTCCTAATCGGGATAAGGTGGTCAGGTCAAAAGGATATTTCACCACTTGATCGAATACAGGACTCATATGGGGGATGTCACAGCTACTCGGAAGAGAACATGTTAACTTTTTTATGATAGTTTCTGGAATGTTTTTGAAGTGGAGTTACCCCTACCTCTGTTTGAAATTGATTAGAAAAGAATCTATTTGTTTGGACGAAAAAGCCCCTAAACCCAACCTATGCATACTAGTTGTATGCATACTAATTATGCATTTTCCAAAACAGGAAGCATATATTCCACACATCATATCACAAAATAGCCATACCGCAATAATGTGGAGTTGCCCGCCTTTGATTCGTTAATGACAGGTACCTAGTTTACCGAACTCGGTAAAGAAAATCAGCATCGATCAATCCTAATTGATGTGTCATAAAAGTTGAACAAAGAACAACATACATTTTGCGTATGACATATTTAATAGGTCAGTAAGCGTGTGGCTTTTAATTCCATTATGAAGTAACTCCCATGATAATACAGCATACCAAGCTACCTTGACTGAGAGGAAAGTCATTATATCAATCACTAGTTTTCTGGACCAAAATTGATCATTTACTGGCTGCCGTCAAATAGTTGGAATATGGCAGCGTGTGGCGTTAAACAAACATACTGTCTAGCTGGCATTCTCTCCCTCAGTACTGCTGCTACTGCTGCAGTAGAACTTCGTTTGAAGGATTATGTCTTACATGTTACTAATAACCTTTGTTTCCCTTATATAGACCTGAAGACTCCACTCCAAGGAAGCCGGTCTTCTGTCAGTAAGTCTTACTAACTTTACATACAGTAAGGACTTGGTTGCTTGACCAGCTTTAAGAGATTGAGTTTTAAACTTTCAGCTTGCACAGATTCATAATAACAATAATAATAATGATAATAAAAATAATAATAATCATCATCATCATCATCATCGTCCTACTGGGTACCCATTTACTGCTGGGTAAGCAGAGGCGCATTTCGAACAAAGTCACTTGTCCAAGCTTCAGTGTGGAGCAGGACAGAAACCCTAGAAACTCTCAGGAGCCAAGCTCCCGAAACATTTCTTATTGTTAAAAAATGAAGTCTGCACAGAAAGCAGGGTCAGGATTGGTCGTACCTAGGTAATAGATGTTTGTCTTCGTGAGATGAAGTGACTGCTTGTCTCCTGCAGGTTCACAGATGTGGAGAGACAGAGGTGTTACACAGTCTTCACTGCGGACTTCCTGCCGTGTGACAAGTTCCTGGTGCTGCGACAACCCACCGACCCCAACAGGTAGCACACAAGTCCCTGACCCATAACATTGTAGCCACACGAAATGAGACCCGTGAAGATGCCGGGTAGAATAGGTCTTCAGCAACCCATGCTTGCCATAAAAGGCGACTATGCTTGTGGTAAAGGGCTACTAACAGGATCAGGTGGTCCGTCTCGCTGGCTTGGTTGATGCATGTCATCGTATCCCAATTGCGTGGATCAATGCTCATGATGTAAATCACTAGATTGTCTGGTCCAGACTGGTTTATTTACAGACAGCCGTCATAAAGGTAAAATACTGCTGAGTGCGGCGTTAAACAAGAAACAAACAATCAAAACATGAAATGAAATTAAGTATTAGGGGCACAAGAAAATTTAATTTTAAATTTTAAATTTTGTTGGCTAAAAAATTAAATATTGACAAATGGCTGAGAAGAAGAATTGAAGCTCTTGTATGTATGTGAATCCACATTCACTCATTCACGTGCTCAGTCGCTCTTGTTGCTATTGGGGATGGTAGTGATGTGCTATGTAGACAGTAATAGGGACACAAGAAGACTGGTCCAAAACACGTTCCAGAGAAATGGGATGAATTATTTCCCCTTGTCCATATCCTATTTCCTCATAACCGACCTCAAATATTTTATGAGTGCTTCACTTCATATTCCTCTCACTTGCGATACCAGATTTGTGACTTTTTGTGGCATTGTATTGTGATGAATTGTATTACTAAGTGTGTTTTTCCTAGAAAAAGATGTGTTTCACAATGTTTTACATTCACAAAATTCCCAACAGGACTGACACAGACAGTGGCATCCTGGCCGTTTCCATGGGAACCCTGGCATCCTCCAACCCCAACAGCAGCTCCACATCAGATTTAGACAGGTAGGCTTCTATTGGTTCTGTCACAAATGATGCTGTATCGTACTAGATGGAGGCCTTGTGGTGGGGCACAGTGGCACAGTGGTCTAAGGCAACAAGTTGCTGTGCAGAGTTGTGCCAACGGGCTACCAGAATATGCTGGGTTTGAATCTCAATTTACCATGGTTATATTTCATGGTCTGTCAGCTAGGTATTCATGCCTCTAACCTATCATTTTGAGGTGATATGCCGTGATATGATTGACAAACTGTTCAAAGTGGGGTCAAACTCTACTCACTCACTCATGTGACCACCATGTCCAATATTATCCAGTGTATGATATATTCATTGCTTTGTGGTTAATTCCCTGGCTTTGTTTTGAGAATGATCTGAAAGGGATGAGGCTAAATCCAGCTATCTAATCAAGTTACGAGGCAAGATATTCTTTGCTAAGCTGGATACATTAGCGGGTGGTCAGGCTCGCTGAAGTGGTTGATGCATCATATCCCAAATGCGCAGATTGATGCTCATGATGTCAATCACTGGATTGTCTGGTTCAGTTTGATTATTCCAATCTTTCTGACCGCCGTCATACAGATGGGATATTGCTGTGTGCAGTGTTAAACAACAAACTAAATTATATGAGAGGAATTAGTGACATCACTTCAAAAATGAGGCTATGGAGGGGAATGGGTCCGGGATATTTATCATAATGGAATGGAGATATGATGCACTAGACATAAATGATGTGACCACCAAGGCAGACCACTTCCAGGTTGTGAGACCTCCTCCATGGTGTAGTGGATAGTGTGTGCCTGGAGAAGCGGAACGTCTGTGGTTTCATCCCTGGCCGCATCATACCAAAGACGTTAAATAATGGTACTTATTATGACTTTTTTTCTTCTGAATCTACACAATTGTAGAATACTAGCTTATTTAAATTCTTACCATAGCTTGCAAATAATCGCCAGCAGATGGAGGCATGGTGTAAATCCTGCTGGGTTACCATGCAAGTAGCAGAGGTACAGTAAGTCTCCATGGTCCCAAGTATGGTGGCCTTTTTTGTTTTTGTTTTATAGTTTCTTCCTCATATTCTTTTCAAACTAGTGATAAAAATATATCTGTGATGTGATTAGTAATTTTACTGTCCTTTGATGACTGGGTTTTAGAAAATATAACTGCTTTACTTTGTCTGGTCACAATATGGCTGATATATTGCTGACATCACTCACTCACTCACTCACTCACTCACTCACTCACTCACTCACTCACTCACTCACTCACTCACTCACTCACTCACTCACTCACTCACTCACTCACTCACTCACTCACTCACTCACTCACTCAAACACTCACTCACTCAAACACTCACTCACTCACTCACCAATGGGTATCAAGACAGAGGTCACTATATGCGGCTGGTGGCCCAGTCGTCTAAGGTGATGTGATTCACTGTGCAGAGTTGTGTCCCTTGGGGCGCCAGAAACCTCTGGTTGTGGGTTTGAATCTTGGTTCGCCCCTATTATGTTTCTAGGTTTGTCAGCACCATACCCGTGCTTGTGGGTTTCACCGAAGTGGTAAACATCTAAGACCTGCATCACTTCGGGCTTTTCTCCAACATTAATCTGACACGCCGATATAACTGGAATACTGTTAAAAGCGGCGTTAAACCTAACTCACTCACTCCCTCCCTCACTATATTTGGCTACTTTGTATTGGAAGCATTCATAAAATCACAACCCTACAGAAACGTCCCCTCTGCAGCTGTTGAGGGCAGCATCAGCCCCCATGTTGTCATTCCGTGAGTGCCATGAAGCATGACATGTGTCCCTCACCAGGCACCTGAAATCTTAATGAACATATTCTTTCTTCAAAAGGATCTTTCAAAAACTATCCAAAACCAGTTTGTTTTCCTCAAAACCGAATGTAAAAATGATTTATTTGAGATGGGTACAAATGACAGATGGTTCAGTTGGCGTGAATCTGTGCATCTTGTAGCATGGCAGCTGTGTACAATGTGGCCGTGAATCGCATTCCTTCACACGCTAATTACCATCATTATACAAGGGAGAACCAGCACACCGAGCAGTGGGCGACTCTCTGTGTATCAACATGCTGGTGTATGTGGGGCAGGTCTCATTGTCGGGACCGGTTGGGTTTTTGAAAGAATCTAATGGACTTTTGTTCTTGTTTGGATCACTTGCTTGAGTTAGGTGTGTAAAGTACACTTTGTTGTTGTATTATGATTGTAGGTTATATAATAAACCCCAAATTCAACTCTTTGATGTTGTGATGTACCGACATTGAAGGGAGTGCCTTGAAACCAACACAGGTTTGGTGGACCTTGTGTACTAATTTGATTATTGGCCTGTGACTCACCTAAAATTTAGTATTTGCAATCCTTTTCATTTCCATGGAAACCTGTCTTCCAGGTGTGCGTGGTCTGTCTGTCTGTCTGTCTGTCTGTCTCTCTCTCTCTCGAAGCGGTGTTAAGCAATATTCCTCTCTCCCTCTCTCTCTTTCTCTCACTCACTCACTCACATTTAAGTCATGGCAGTTCACTATGCATAGTTCTCTCCCTTCAGCATGTCAGGATCCACTGTAAAGGTTTCACATCCAGAATACCTTGACTCACAGTAGATGATGTTACGCCTGTCAGCCTCCATACCCTTGCTCATGGCTGTCTCACAGTGATAGTCTGGGACTCTAGCCCTTTGGCTGAAGCCCAAGTTTAGTCACATTTTGTTTGGTCTAGTAAGGTCAGCTGCACTTCAATGTGCACAAAAAGATGCTCATAGCCAAGTTCAAGCTAGTGGATTCTTTAAGTTTTGCACAGACTGGTGATAAATGTCAACAAGCTGACACTATGAAATAAGTGAATTACTGTTCTAAGTGACGTTAAACTCCACTCACTCACTCACTCGTTCACTCAACCAAACACCCAACCAAACACCCAACCACTCACTCACTCACTCACTCACTCACCCAACCAATGACACACCCACCCACCCACTCACTCACTCACTCACTCACTCACTCAAACACCCACTCACTCACTCACTCACTCACTCACTCACCCAACCAATGACCCACCCACCCACCCACTCACTCGCTCACTCACTCACTCACTCACTCACCAAACCAATGACCCACCCACCCACTCACTCACTCACTCACTCACTCACTCACTCACTCACTCACTCACCCAACCAATGACCCACCCACTCACTCACTCACTCACTCACCCAACCAATGACCCACCCACCCACCCACTCACTCGCTCACTCACTCACCAAACCAATGACCCACCCACCCACTCACTCACTCACTCACTCACTCACTCACTCACTCACCCAATGACCCACCCACTCACTCACTCACTCACTCACTCACCCAACCAATGACCCAACCACCCACCCACCCACTCACTCACTCACTCACTCACTCACCCAACCAATGACCCACCCACCCACCCACTCACTCACTCACTCACTCACTCACCCAACCAATGACACACCCACCCACCCACCCACTCACTCACTCACTCACTCACTCACTCACTCACTCACTCAAACACTCAAACACTCACTCACCCCAGCTGGGTGGGAGAATGTGCGGGTGAGAGAGTACATTGTGAGATGGTATAGAGGGGAGTTACTCGACTATGTAGTGTCGTACAGAGTTACCTTCACATACCGTCACATTTAACCGAGGCGACTTCCTTGTCAGTCCCCACAATTGGAGAGTCTAAGAGTGTTCTCCTGGTATTGAAGGGTTGACTTTGATTCCATACATGGTACAGTGTGTGAAGACATTCCATAACATTCCCTGGCATTGTGCTGGTGGTGCACACTTCACTCACTTATTCACTAGTGACCTAGATCCTTCCAAGGACCCAGGGTGTATGTTAGATTGCACTGAATGCACAACACAGAGTGACTCCCAACAGCCACACTCCACAACCTTCTCTATCTTTGTTAGAATACGCATAAAATGCGGATCCACACACTGACTAGTACTTAATGTGTGCCAACTCAAAACCCACCCCATCTCCACTGTAGAAGAAAACCTGGTACTATCCCAACTGAATATGCTGCTGCCTACACTCTCTGTCCCCTTCTACCCATCCACCCACTCATCCATCCATCCATTCATCCATCCATCCTTCCTTCCATCCATCTTCCAATCCTTTCTTCCTTCCTTCCTTCCATGTTCCCATCCCCCCTTCCATGCATCCAGCCAGCCATCCAGCCTCCCTCCCATCCGAGTCACCAAGCTTGAATTACTTTTACTAGCTCGGCTAACCAGAATGAATTTTTTTAAAGTATATTCAGGGTTCGGACTTGTGGCCAAGCTCACAGACTGACATCCACCCACCCTTCCATATCTCCATCCTCAGATCTTTCCATTGTCCATCCTTCCTTTCTTCAATCTCCCCATCCTTCCTTCCTTTCCATCTTCCCTTCCTTTTCATCTTCCCTCCACCTATCCATCTATCTACCCATCCTCCCACCTATCCTCCCATCCTTCCATTGACCCCGCCACCGATTTTCCCATCCCTTCCTCCAACCATCCTCCCATCCTTCCCCACTCCCACCTTCCCACCCATCTACTGACCCTCTGTACTAGGAGGGTATGACTAGCTCCCCCCCCGTCCCCCTCCTTCATCCAGTATACCCAATAGTAGTCAAATCCAAACACTATCAGCATGATAACCACTGATTTATTCAGCACAATAATAACAAAAATAAAGTGATTTTTAAGATTTTTATTTCATTTGATTTATTTCTGTGTAATCATTGTTCTCTCACCTGTAAAATCATGCTATGTACATGACTATCATTATGCCATTTACAATTTAATATCAGGGACATGGCGACGACTACCTGTGATTTAATCGTCCTCAAAGTTGAGTGGTTGAGTCACATTTACCCTCACCACCTCAACTGTCACCTCACCAAGGTCAACACGGTGAAAATGGACAAAAAACGAGAAAGTAAATTTGAGTAACTGGTTGATTTTTTTCTGCTAATTCTAAATCGGGATGCAGGTGAGTTTGTTCGCCATGTCCGTCTGTATTTGATACAGCTGAGTGAAGCGTCTCCACACAATCCATGCAACCGATTTCCACATGTTCTGTACATACAATTGAAGCATGCTGTAATGCCAGTGGTTCTATTCCAATCATGGAATATTTGTTTCTAAATTCTTTCACCCTTTTGGAATGGAAATATACACTAAGGTGAAGTCTAAAAAAATGATACTTCATTTTTACTGAGGAATATGAATTGATGCTATTTAATTATGATTTGAAGAAGCATTTTTATTAGCCACTTTTATTTTTGGTTAAAGTATACTACTCAAAAGAAGTTAAGGATCACCCGATTCTTTCATAATGGTAAAGTTAATCTGTCATGACATGAGAGATTAACTATAGTAATATGAAAGAATCAGGTGATCCTTAACTTCTTTTTAGTAGTATACATCTGAGATTTTTAATTGCAATTCTAAATGAAGTTTTATTAAAAAATATGATTTTCAAATCAGACTATAGTTTCAATCCTTTGAAATATAATCTAGCTGTATAAAACATTATAAAAGTAGTATAAATGTAAACATACCTAAAACATTTGATCCCTCTTGATGACAATTTGAAGTGTGTACAATCAATACCGTATCCTACCTAAGGCAATAGATCTCTGTGTATGGCAGTTTGAATATATTGCTCAAAAGAAGTTAAGGAACACTGATTAACTATAGTTACATGAAAAAAACGAGTTTCATACCATGACATGTTAACTGTAGTAATTTGAAAGAATTGCGTGTTCTTGAACTTTTTTTAGTCCGTGATGGATTAACTATAGTAATGGTAAGAATCAGGTCTTCTTTAATTTCTTTTGAGTCGATGGCAGATTAACTATGGTAATATGAAAGAATCGGTGTTCCTTAACTTCTTTCGAGTTGTACATATTGCATCATACACGAGCATACGTACTGATCATTCTGTAGGGGGTTTTGGATGTGTAGTATTAAATACACAGGGTGAATTGAATTTGTATATCAGGGTGGGAAGAAATTCAGACCCTGTTGAATGGCCTGTTATGGGTATCTGTTATCAACAAGGCATAACTGTGCTGTCAGGATCTAACCACTTGTGTCGGCGGTTATCTTCGTAATACTTGAGGTTGAAATGGGTTGTGCCTCGTGTACATAACTTAAAGTAGTATAGAGCACTTTGTAGGGGTTGAGTTGCATCAAACTATTCCCATTAATGTTACTTACTTGGAGAGATGTTTAAATGTATATAGGTTTTTATTTCTAATAGTTTGTGGAGGGGAGTAAAGGGATTTGTTTGTTCAGTGATTGTAAATAATCATACACGACATTCGGGCATAATGAAATGAAGTTTTCTTTCAATGTATTTGAGAGTCTAGAATTACAAGTGGTATGGGATACTGGCCTTGAAAGTATGTGATGAATAAATCATGTATAAAGATGTTGGCATGGTATTACCGTATTCGACATAATAAGCGGTCAGGGCGCTCTCAAAATTAGAAATAGTGGGCTCTTATTAGAATAATATCTTGGTGAAAAATACAGAGTTGAAAGATAAATTTTGTGGTTTATGCTGACAGCCTGAAATGTTAATGTACGACAAATATAACTTTTTCAGAATTTAATTGCCATTAATTTAGGGTGCATATAACACACAAGTGTGTATTATACCCGCATAAATAAACTTGTGTACATTGATCAATCGGAAGGCCAATATATTAGCAAGTATCCCCATGGGCGCTTATTAGAGCGGGGCGCTTATTACGTTGAATACGGTAATCGAGTTTTGACTAATTGTATTCAAGACGATCATCTATGAAAGTATCATTGTGTGTTCATGATAATGTTATAACTAGGAGAGGACTATTGACATCATTTTGACATAGGGAGTTATGCTTCTAAGCATAGAACAGATAATAAAGTTTATATATATACACGTGGTTAATAATGTACATGTTACTTAAGCTGTCCCTTTCTCAGGATGAATTTTTAATTCAGTTGATTTTAGATCAGTTCGATCAGGTTTGGTATAATTCATCATTGACAATTTTAACTTGACAATTATGTTGGGAAATAGCAAATAGAGTAAAGGGACACATTGATGGGGAATTGATATAAATTAGCACCAATCAGTTGAAACACATTTATTTCAAGTTCAGGCCTTGACATACGAAATCGATCACAATCACGGCACTTGACATCAAAAGCGGACACATACAAATCTGTCAGTGTGGTGTGTTATTAATTACTCATTGTTCATTTAATGTTACATAATTGTTAGGAAGAGAATTTATGGATGTGAACTTCTTTACTAGGAGTTGATGTCCATAAATTCTCTTCCTCGTGTACCACTTCTAAATGCCTTTCAAAGACTTTATATAATTGACTCATTTTCTTGATTTTATTATTGTTGTTTATCTTGTAATCCGAATATTGGATGTAGCTTGGTTTATGATGAATGCTTTGATGACAACCGTTTCATTTGGTTTTCGAAATATTTCAGAGTTCCTTGTTTCCTCACATTACTATCTTGCTGAATGTGGCTAAACAACTGACAAACAAAATGACGTTTCATTCACACAAACACACATCACAATACGCTGAAGACTGGACATGCTCTCCACGACATACAATACACAAATCAACACACTGATTCTTATAAATTAATACTGTGTACAACAAGGATTTGGCATTAGGCCACAAATATGACAAAAAGCAGTCTTTTTCTCAAATCTGCAATATTTAAAGCTAAATTAGTCCACATAAAATTCTTGGAACACATTTGACTCCGTTAATAGCAGCCTTGAAATCAGCAACATTCAATGAATTTCCAATCAAAGTCCAGACATGTCACATAAGTCTCACCTTCGACTTCATTCTCGACAACTCACGATGAACAATCTTGCATAGACGTTGAAAGTTAAAGGCACTGTGTCTTTAGTATAGAGAACAGGGTGCATGGCTTTAAACCAGTGAATCCTTTTATCAGTCATATGATTCTGTTTTTGAAGATTGTGAAAGGTGAGCTTCATGTTCTTCAGGAACGTTTGTTCCAGGTTCACAATTGGTTGAACAGTCTGGTGTCAGGTAAGAATTAAAACTTGTTGAATTGCCTGAAGCAGTTTGCTTCGTTTTCCTCGGCATTTGTTCTTTTTCCACTGCTATTCAAGCAAGTAGTTACTTGACATTAATCATCCTGTGTGTAAATGCCACTTGGATGGTGGTCATTATTCATAAATGCTTGTGGTTGGCGTAGACTGTGGAAGATTTGAAGGCGGCATAGCTGTGGTTTTATAAATAGCGACCAGAAATTGTCCATCTTTTACAGATTCAGGTCTTAAAATGGCAGCGTGATTTGTAAACACAGTTGGAATGTAGGTTCACCAGTAGTAAGCTTTTCCATCCTTAGTCTTCTCCAGGAAAAACTTTTTGATGAACTTTTTTCTCCAAGATTTGTGTTGTAATAATGTCTTAAAGTTTGGTGGCAGTGTTGCCAGTTCGGGCTTTCCAAGGTATGCTGACGAAAACTTACTGTCCATATTGGTGCAGTTGGAATCTGGAACAAAATAATCGTGTATGGTAAATAAATTTATCATCTCAAAAGTCTGGTGAGATCAAACAATTATGTCAGAGGAGATATCACTACAATAAATTGCATCACAATGCCTTACAGACCATTGTGGGGGCGGTGGGGTAGCCTAGTGGTTAAAGCGTTTGCCCATCACGCCTAAGGCCAAGTTTGATTCCCCAAATGGGTACAATGTGTAAAGCCCATTTCTAGTGTCCCCCACTGTGATATTGTTGGAATATTGCTAAAAGTGGCGTAAAACAACTCTCACTCACTACAGACCATTGGTTACCATGACGTCACAATCATATGAAATCAGTAATGTCTGCCTGCACCACTGAAGCTTGTTAGCTCTACTTTTTATGCTTAGGACACTGGTTATATCTGTTTACAAAGTGAGCAAGTTGGAAATCTCGTAGTTTGAATTCTTTATTGACTTGTGTTGATATATTTGAAATCAAAAGGCACTCGGGTGAGTCTATTTGTAGATGATATTTCAGGAAACTTTTGAGTAAACTGGGTTAGATATTCAAGGTATTGTGTAGAAAGAAGAATCAATATCCACATTCTAATGAGTTCAGTTGTTTATACATTTAATTTAATAAGTCATATAATTAATCATCTTATTGATATGGATTTTGAAATTCTATAAATACTTTACCTGGTGACTCCCAGAATTCCACAGTGATTAGGCTATGCCCAGCAATCCAATCTTTTGATTGGTGGAAATGGTTACAGTCCCATAATGCAACATGACCTTTTGGCCGATTCAGCTTCTTCGTGTATGTTATCACTCGAAGAATACCCTGTTTCCCCCAGAAATTCTTCTTTGTATCAATAGGGTCCATTTGGTGTAATTTTGACACAGTTGGGTATCCATATTTATCTGCCATGAAAGGTCCGTATGCTATTGGGTGGTATATATACTGCAAGCCATCTTTACCCGGGACACTATCCGTTCCAAATTTGGATAATCGGATGATACTTTTCCCAAGGGAATGAACTCCGCTGACTTTGTTGAGAGCGTAGGACAGACGTAAGGCACTTGTGTCGTGTAGAAGAAGATTGCTGTGGGTTCCGATCATTGTCAATAAATGATGATTGTGGAGGCGGCCCCCAAAATTCCAGTATCCCGGATAATTGGCTTGAAGTTTTGCGAAAGGTGGAAGTGGAATCTGGAAAAAAAAGAGAAAAGTTGCATAAATATAAGCTGGGAGTCATTAGAGTATTTGATCAAGAGTGATAAACTGTTTAATGATGATATTTCGTATCTGTTTCAGTCTGTATGATTTCTTGCCTGTGGGGTTCCATTAAGACCCAACCACCTATGCTTTTTGTAAGGCGACTAACACGATTGGGTGGTCAGGCTCGCTGACTTGGTTGATGCATGTCATCTTATCCCAATTGTAGATCAATGCCCATGATGTCAATCACTGCATTGTCTGGTCCAAACTCGATTATTTACAGACCGCCGTCATATAGCTGGAATGTTGCTGAGTACAGCAATAAACAACAAACAAACAATCAAAGCCCTATTAGCATCCTCATTTATCTCACACGCAGTGATATAACTAAAATGCTGTTAAAAACAGAGTTAAACCAAACACTAACTCACTCATGGATTATAATTAACATAGGGACGGTTGTTTTGACCTTTAACTTCAAATAATACATCATTGTGTGCCATGCTTGAAGAGGATTACGTTTGTTTTGTTGCTTATCCTCTAATTAATTCATATCATGCTTGTGTTCGTACCGCATGTCTCTCCAGAGAACAGTGGATGCATTTATAACAGTACTGCAAGTCATGATTGGAATGTTTGTCCCACACGACTTGTAGCAATATTGATATAGCTCATAATAATCTTATCGGAAATCCGATTTTTCTGGGGCTTTATTGAATAAGACGTTTGGGGATATTCGTCATACAAGTCTTCAGTCTCATGAAAATTTAATGAGTCAGCGTTTGATAACTGTTATCTTGACAAGTATGCCGACTCCCACTGTGTACGAGATTAAGACAACTATGGTTAAAGAAATTCTTTAACCCCTGCGCAGTAAAATATTTCAAAAAATTGATTTGAAAAAACACATATAAATAAGATGTTGTTATGGAGAGAAAAGGATCTGCTTTCATATGAATACCTACAGTTGTAGGTTTGTGAAAGTTTCAAGGAATTGTGACCTAAAACTGACCTCTACCTTGTACTAGAGGAAGTTAAGGGTTAAGGAGGACCGAGCTGTCTATCTTGGCATGTCCACGTGTACCACATACTGGCAAAGGCCATGGGAATCGTGGGATAGGTCATGTGACATATTACTGTGTCAGTCGCAACGAAGACACAATCCTTCAACAGTTAAGAAAACACAAGAACATCAAATACAAACTTCTTTTACAACAAATTCTACATAATTCACATTTTAACCTCAGGGGCCTTGGGTGAACTGTGTTTTTGAGGGGAAACTGCTCGACAGTGATATACCATTAAGCGTAGGGGGGATTACTCAAACAACATTCATCACAAACATTTCAACTTTCGTGAACTATTTTTTTTCTTATTTCTAAGTATGAGCAACCCCTGTTCCCAAATGTTGATCAACATATGCATGAAAAAGTTGAGGATGGAATTTTTTATTCTATTGTATCTTCAGTCCGTAAAGGAATTCTTCCCTTGAAAGGTTTCGTGTAAGGAAATGGAAATGGTTGTCCTGCGCCATGTCTGTGGAATTCATATTTATTTGGTATTTTTTTTACTAAAAGCCTAGGCAAGTCTAGATCAAACTAACAAAGTCTAGTTTGCTTGATTGAAAACAGTAGAAGAGGAAATGTTCTTTCGAAGAAAAAAAAGTATAATTATTTTAAAGAAATGTTTTCGTTGACTAAGTGTTAGTCTATGGAAATGAATTCCTAGTTAATTCACACACTTTTACTATTGAAATCAAGTTTCTCGGCCGTCAGTAACTAGCCATTAAATCCCTTCGTTTCATCCTTGTTCTCGTATATTTGCACATGTCTGAGAGTAGGTCTGCCATTGACCCCAGGGGGACAGATCAAGGTACACTTATGTTGATAAGTAGATGGCTCGGGGAATGATACCATTGAAGCTGGTCAAACCTGACATTGACAGGGGGCTGATCTATATACCTTGAAAGGATATATCTCAGCTCCACACTCCAACCAACCAACACATGCCATAAAACACAAGGACAGAACTGAAACCGGATGCATTTCTAATTTTGACATCTCGGGAAATTGTTGAAGTGGACACTCCGAGTGGTTGTGCAAATTGTGTGTATAATGACCACCCCTCAGGCCTGCGGTCCAATGTACACCTGCGGTCAAGGGAGATATAGACCATTATGCCTGGCTGACCACCGGTTAAATTCAGTGGTATCATAGATTGACTGCAAACATGTTTTGTGGATGAAGAGTTTCAACAGCTACTTACAAGCTATCCATATCTCAGTGTCACTCACGCTTCATCCCTTTGAGGTATTTTCAAGTGGGATTCATACACTGTAGAGAAAGCGTGAGAGCCATCGAGGTTCCTCTTCATCAGTGATTAATGTCATGGCATGGTTTTCTTTGGTTTAACTACACCACCACAACAATAGGGCTCTCAGCTTTGGATAAATATTTTAGCTGATCCTTTTGATTAAGTGGTGTCGACTTAGTCAGTATTTGAAATTGCTTTCTTTTGTGAGGATTATTAACTTAAGTGACAAGTGTTTAGATTAAAAACTGTGCAACTGTGATTACTTTTGAAAAGGTGTTTGTAATTGTAATGATGAAAAAATATTGAATAAATTTGGAAGAGATTTCACATGTTCTTTGTAATATTTGACAAAGAATGCCAGATAAGAAACAGTTCAAACAAGGCTTTCAGTTTTTGACACACTTGACTTAAATGCTAATTTTGGAATCAGAATGAATAAAAGATGGGAGAGTGACAATCCTTTCTACAAAGGAGACCATTTCAAAAGACAAATGTTGTCAAATTGTCTAGTTACTGATTGAAGTTGACGTAAGCACAAAGCTTTGACGAAGTAAAGAGGAGTCGTCCGAATACATGAATATATTTACTGTTGTACAAGGGAGCGCTGTGTGTTGAGATTGTCAGAGAGACACATGAGCTGTATGGCGGAGGAAGGTGGACACATGCCGCTGTGATATGACGTCCCCTCCAGCTACAGGGTCTGTCACAGAAGTGTCACGCGGGATCACACGGGATGACTCATCCAAAATACTCCCATGAAACTTAATAACTAACTGCCGACCATAACAATCACACATCAAAACTTTCATAAAATACCAGAACCCCGAAAAACAATTTTTTTAAATACCTCTCACCAAGGGTTTTAACTGGATTAAAAAAAATAAAAAAATTTATCACCAAGGGACTAACATGACAATCATGTATCAAAACTTTCATCAAATACCAGTACCCCAAAAATATTTTTTTTAAAACAAACTAATACAACAGATTGTAACTGGTTTAATAAAATATTTTCATAGCAAAGGCACTATTATGTTTTGGAGTTATTTTAATTAACATCAGAATTTAATATTTTATGTAAAATATCTTTTAATAACCAAAATATTATTAGCAGCTATCTTTTCAGCCTCATTGCCAGCTTTGAACAGTGCATGCTTCTTTGTTAATATGCTGTGAGTTTTTGCAAGGAAAATGCCACAAAACTATCTGTTTTTTGTTACATAAATATTGCCAGCATATTCTATTATGAAAAGATGTTTACTGCATAAACATTCTTTATTGGACCAAATACCCTGTTCGCTTGGCTGGGAACCTGAGAAAGTTGAAGTGATATTTTCACTCACTATCTTTTTATTGGCGATCAATGGACATAATATTTTGAAAAATTAATCTCTCGTGACTTGACAAATGAAACCATGAGAGAATATATTTTGCCAGCATGCATGACATTGTTGGTTTACCCTGCACATTGCTTGTGTTTTCATAGAATCAGCACTCTTGTTTACTTTGCAATTGTGTACTGTTAAAGATTAACACACTGTCTGACAATGCACTCACCCTTTATCAGGATAATAGAACATTTATGTTATGCTTGAAATCAAGACTTGAACACAGTGTGTGACAGATGGCGCCTAGAGAGGCTTAGACATATACCTAGCAGCACCAGCCTACAAAAAATAATTTTCCATCAATTATTTTCTGGTCGTGTGAATAGGAGACAGAAAACTACGGACACCTTGACCTCTTGTCGGCACCAACAAAAACTCCCATAATGCCCCAGGCTATCTCGTATCGTGGGGGATTGGACAAAATCTGGGCATGGCCGATTCAAGAGTTGGGTTCTATGCGAGGTGAGACAACCTTCGACCTGGGTTAGGGAGGTATGTTATCAAGGGATACCATGTTGACAGGCTTTATCCTGTCCATAACAGAATAGGCGGAGCACCCCTTGGGTATGGACTTTGGAAGAATTGTAATTAAATTCCTTGGTAACTCTGGTCTTGTTGCTGGTGTTATGTGGGGATTATCTGTGTTTGATCTGATCGAAATGTTGGGACAATGTTATAAATCTGTGTCTGGACGGGGTCATTAGCATGTGATTACAAGTCGCGGGACGGAAATCAATTCAGAATATCTTGGATTGGTGTGACATTTAAATCTGCCCTCATCAGTCATGAAGTGAGAAAAAAAAAAGATTTTAATATGTATTGAACAAGGACATTTTTTTAAAAAGCAAATAATATATATTGTACTGAATTTAGATTTGTAGAATTGCGTAGACAGCTGTATGAAAAGTTTTTGATACAGAATCTTTGAAAATTGTTGAGTTCAATTTTTAGATTGAAAATGTTTTGCAAAAAAATAAATATTAAGAAATATATTTTGTTGAAATTTTATTTTAAAACAGTTCTCAAGGCTCCATTTCTGAAAATTCAAAGACATGTGTGCTGAACCTATTTCTTCTGTTGCCAAAGTTCAAATTCACCCGTGTGTGAAAAGAAATAGAAAGCTATTTGAAAACATGCACCAAAGGCGGAGATGGTTAATTGCTGGGGCTACATGCTTGATGTGATGTAGATCATGCTGGTATGTAGTCGGCCCACCAGGGCCTGTGTCAGTGTCGACTCGCCTCAACAGGAGGTCAGGAAGTTGGGTACAGTTGCAACTAAAATTGGCCG